GAGACATTAGACAGCTTTGAGGGTACCTAACCCGCTCTCTGCTCAGATAGCTGACATGTCAATAAAGTGCCCATAAAGATACAATCCTTGTCTCTGCTTGTTGGTCCTGGTGGTGACAGGCAGCACCACCACAGACGTTTATGGTTTCAACATGAATAGCAACATGCCAGGGAGGAAAGGTCAGGGGGTCTAATCTGTATGACCACGGGTACTCGAAGGGGGGAAAGGCCACCCTGGTGGGGGAGGTCCCACCCCAGTTTTACCCATTGCTAGGTACCCGGGGCTTTCTGCCATGGTGACTTCCCATACCTGACTTGGTTCTAACTCTGCTCACGCCGGTCTACCTGCCTACTATATCAGAGTCATTTTGTATGCATGTTCAGTTTATACGTTAATAATAAACCTGTTAGGCAGGAGTTTACAAGAAGAAGGAGGGTCCATAGTACTGGCAGAAAAAGCTCATAAATAACTTTGATTAACTGCCTCCTGTTTTTAACAGGATAACAAGAGGTGGTCTGGAACCAGATAAAAATCTGAGTTAACAGACCTGCACCCATATTTATGCTTAGGGGGTCATGCCCTCCCTTGGGAGAGTGTTTACCACCTTCCCCCACCAAATCGACGTGTAATTCCCTCCCCCCACCACACAGTCATGTAAGTCCTCAGAACAAAGAGCCCGAGCACCTGTGCCCTTCTCCCCGACCTGGGCTAGGCCCATTCTCTTCCATGAGGACGTATCACTAATAAACTTTCCTCGCATACCAATCGGCTTGCTGATCCGTAACACTTTACTGAATCGGCAGGAAGAATTGAGCCTCCCACAACAAACCAAAAGAGGTCATAAGAAATGTTTCAACCAGAAAAATTACCCCGCCCTCCATTCCACTCACTCGGTGAGCAAAATATGCCCCAAGTGTGCATGAGATCTGAGGCAGTAATCTGATGCTCCCTTGGTTCCTAGCTCTTGTCTGAATGTGATCTGAGTGTATTTTTCCTTTTGTTTTCCCTTTTTAAAAAAATATTTTTTGAAGATTTTATTTATTTATTTTTAGAGGGGAAGGGAGGGAGAAAGAGAGAGAAATATCAATGTGTGTGGTTGCATCTCACATGTCCCCCACTGGGGACCTGGCCCGCAACCCAGGCACGCGCCCCAACTGGAAATTGAACCAGCGACCCTTTGGTTTGCAGTCCGCACTCAATCCACTGAGCTACACCAGCCAGGGTTAAAAATATTTTATTTATTTCTTTTTAGAGGGGAAGGGAGGGAGGAAGAGAGGAAAAGAAACATCAGTGTGTGGTTGCCCCCTACTGGGGACCTGGCCCACAACCCAGGCATGTGCCCTGACTTGGAATTGAATAAGTGACCCCTTGCTTTGCAAGTTGGCATTCAATCCACTGAGCCACACTAGCCAGGGCTAAATATATTTTTCATATAACATGGCCCCCAGTGTCAACTGACATAAATAGAATATAATAGACAAATAATTCAGCAAGGATCAAGAGGTGCTCAGTGCATTGGGTGAAAGACTGTTGGAGACAGGTTAGTCACAGGGTCACAAAGAACTACCCGCAGGTGACATCCTCATGCAGAGAGGGAAAGACATCTTCGCGGGGAAGAGATCTGGCACCCACTTCCTGTTATGGACTGAACTGTGTCCCCTCCCTGAATTCCTATGTTGAAGTTCTCAGAACGTGACTGTATTCAGAATAGAGCCTTTAAAGAGGTAATTAAGATAGAATGATGTAGTATAGAATTCTACACTTATATAATTTTATTAACCAATGTCATCCCAATAAATTCAATTAAAAAAAGAAAAAGATAGCCCTGGCTGGTGTAGCTTGGTGGACTGAGCGTGGGCCTATGAGCCAAACAATCTCGGTTTGATTCCCAGTCAGGGCACATGCCTGGGTTGCAGGCCAGTTTTCAGTGAGGGACACACGAGAGGCAACCATACATTGATGTTTCTCTCCTTCTCTCCCCTTCCCCTCTAAGATAAATAAATTAATTTAAAAAAAAAGATAAAGATAAAATAAGGTCATACCGTTACCAAACTCAAGGGGCTCACCACTGGGCTGCTCTATTCAAAACTAACACGTGGTTGCCACAAGGTAGTTTTATTTACTTGCAACAAGTGAAGGAGATGGGGGATTCATGTGGAAAGGCCTGCCTCCAGGAAGGCAGGCGTAGCCACTGCCTTCCTATGCTATTCGGTGAACCACACACTGATTTCAGTCGGCTCCGCTATTGGCCGGGGCTTCCTGTCAGCTCATCCTGTCTACAGCTGGTCTGCCAAGTATTGTGCTACATTTACCATTTAGCAAGAACAGTGTTTAGTAAGAATGGCCCAGACCTTGGGACCCTTGTCCTACCTAACAATATGGGTGGGTCCTGATGTAATACGTGTGGGGTCCTCATAAGAGATTAGGACACAGACATGCACCGAGGGGACACCGTGTGAAGACAAAAGGGAGAAGACAGCCACCGACACGCCAAGAAGAGAGGGCTCAGAATGAAGTCAACCTTGCTGACACCTGGGTCTCAGACTTCCGGCCTCCGGAACTGTAAGAACACAAATTTCTTTTTATTTGCACCCAAATTTCTTTTATTTAACCCCCCAGCCTGTGGTATTCTGTTACGGCGGCTCCACCAAACTACTGTGCTCCTTAACGCCACAGGCAGAGTTAGCATCACTGCTCGTGGGGCCCCTGACTGGATGTCACCCGGGAGGTATTCTTCCTCTAAGTGCAGGACCAGAGTCTGATCAGGAGGACACACCGGGCAAATCCAGAAAGTGGGACTGTCCACAGGACAGCCGGCTGGGGCTCTTCCAAAAGCCGATGTCGGCGAAGACAAAACAAAAGAGACAAGGGGGCTGTTTCAGATTAGGTGGGACCCAAGAGATGTGCCAACCAACTGCAGCACGTCATCCCAGATTTTATTGTATTCTTTTCTTTTTAAAGATTTTATTTTTGGAGACAAGGGGAAGGAGGGAGAGAAACATGAATGTGTGAGAGACACATCAATCAACTGGCAACCTTTTGATGTACAGGATGATGCTCTGAGCAACTGAGCCCCCTGGCCAGGGCCCAGATTCAATTTTAGTATAAAAAAAAAGACACAACAGCTGTTTTGGGAGAGACAGGTGGAGAAATAAGACTTTGGACTGCATGTTGGATAATGTGACCAAAACGATGTTAAAAATACATGCATAGCCCTGGCTGGTGTAGCTCAGTGGTTTGAGCACAGGCCTGTGAAGCAAAGGGTTGCTGGTTCGATTCCCAGTCAGGGCACATGCCTGGGTTGTAGGCCAGGTCTCCAGGAGGGGACGTGCAAGAGGCAACCACACATCGATGTTTCTCTACCTCTCTCCCTCCCTTCCCCTCTCTAAAAATAAATAAATAAACTCTTAAAAAATTACATATATGCAACCTAATACTATAGAACTCCTAGAAAAAAACATGGGGAAAGTGTACATGATATTGAATTTGTCAATGACTTCTTGGATATGACACCAAAAAAGTAGGCAACAAAAATAAAAATAGATACTTTCGACTGAGTCAAAATCTTTTGTGCATCAAAGGAAACAATCAACAAAGTGAAAGGTAATCTTACAGAATGCAGAAATTTATCTGCAAACCATGTATCTGATAAGAGATCAATATCCAGAATATAAAGAACTCCTACAACTCAACAACAACAAAGGACATGACCCAATTTAAAAGGAGGCAAAGGACTCGATTACACATTTCTCCAAAGAAGATACGCAGAAGGCCAACAAGAATATGAGAAGATGGGGGGTGGGCTGGGATGGGAGTAAAAGACAGAAAACTGTACTTGAACAATAACTAAATTAAAAAATAAAATGGAAAAAATAAAAATAACATGAGAAGATGTTCAGCATCACTAATCATTAGAGAAATGCAAACCACAACTACCATGAGGTGTCACTTCACAACCATAAAGATCCCTGCTATCAAACAACAAACAAACAAACAGAAAATAAGTGTGGGCAGGAATAACGACGGGGAAAAACTGGAACCCTTGGGCACTGCCGGTGGGGATGTAAAATGCTGCAGCTGCTATTGGAAACAGTTTAGAGTTTCCTCAAAAAAAAAAAAAAATCAAGAAAGAAAGAAAAACACAAAACCCAAACCAAACCATGTACACCCAAGTTCACTGCAGCTTACTCACAACAGCCAAGAGGTGGAAGCAACCCAAGTGTCCATTGACGGATGGCTGGATGAACACAATGTGGTGTATGCATACAGTGGAAATGTTTCAGCCTCTAAAAAGATGGATATTGCCCTGGCTGGTGTGGCTCAGTGGATTGAGCACCTGCCTGAGAATTAAGGGTGGCTGATTTGATTCCCAGTCAGGCACACGCCTGGGTTATGGGCCGGGTCCCCTGTTGGGGGCATGTGAGAGGCAACCATTTCTCTCCCTCTCTTTCTGTCTCCCTAAAAATAAATAAATAGAACCCTTTAAAAAAAAGATAGAAATCCTGTCATGTGCCACAACATGAATGGACCTTGAGACCATTATGCTGAGTGGAATAAACCCGTTCACCAAGAAACAAATGCTGCACGACTCCACTTACACGAGGTACCTACAGCAGTCAAAGTCAGGGAAACAGAAAGTAGGAGGGCGGTTGCCAGGGACTGCGGGAGGGGGAGCTGGGAATTGTGCTCCCTAGTTACGGTTCTAGTTTTACAGGATGAAACAGTTCCAGAGAACTGTTACACAATAGTGTGAATATAACGAACACCACTGAACCATACACTTAAAAGTAGTTAAGAGAGTAAACTTTATGTTTTTACCACAATTTAAAAAATTAACAATACACACATAAACAGATAATAAATAAATGCAGCTCAATTCTGGGTGCCCTGCTTGCCCTGGAGGTCCGCTCTTTCTCGAAGGCGGAGATGCCCCTCTCAGTTCTCTCAGGGCCTGGTGGTTCCCCTTAGTTCTGTCTGAACAGAAGATCACAGGCCACGGCCTTCTTCAAGCTTTTGGACTTGGAAAAACAATTGCAAAAACTCTTTCCTGGCGCAATTTTTAATTGACATCTAAAATGACACAATTTCGATCATTATAAAATGTAAAATTTTAATGACAAGGCATTTCTTTGTCAGATGGATTGAGAGGGATCTTTCTGAGGCAGGGTAGTAAGAAGCCAGGACAATTCCTGGGCAAGCAGAATGGGGGACACCGAGACAAGAAAATTAAACAAGGCCAAACAGTTTGAACAACTCATTGCCAGCTAGTGAACCGCAAGACCTTATCTTCCCTAAAAACACTAGAGAACAGCCCTGGCTGGTGTGGCTCAGCGGGTTGAGCGCTGGCCTGTGAACCAAAGGGTCGCCAGTTCGATTCCCATCCGGGGCACATACCTGGGTTGCAGGCCAAGTCCCCGCTGTGGGGTGTGCAAGAGGCAACCACACACTGATGTTTCTCTCCCTCTTTCTCCCTACCTTCCCCTCTGTTTAAAATTAAATAAAATCTTTAAAAAAAAAAGGGAACACGAGAGAACAAATGGTTTCTCCTCGCGGACCAGAGAATACATAGTTTACACAACCCTGGTCAGGGAGATAGATGACAGAGACCCAGTTAGTTAATGCCATTTGTGCCAGCTAAACCCAAAGACAGATGAAATCAGGAGAACAAGTAAACCAAAACCCCATCAAGGCCAGAGGGACCCAAGATCAAAGTGAAACAATAAAATAGACCAAAAAAACCCCTCCAAACTCCTCTATATGCTCATTTTGATACATCAGCATATTAAAAATGTAACTGGGGCCCTGGCTGGTGTGGCTCAGTGGATTGAGTGCCGGCCTAGGAACCAAAGGGTCACAGGTTCAATTCCCAGTCAGGGTACATGCCTGGGTGGCAGGCCAGGTCTCCAGTAGGGGGTTCATGAGAGGTATTGATGTTTTTTCTTCTCCCTCCCTTTCCCCTCACTCTGAAAATAAATAGATAAAAGCTTACAAGCAAAATAAAAATGCAACTGGAAAGTTGGTGAATATTCTATTGAAACCCTCCCCCTGAGATTCTCACCTGCGGAGGAGAAATAAACACCCTTACAACAAAGCCATGGGTGGGCTCACTCTAGAGCAGTGGTCCCTAGCCTTTTTGGTACTAGGAACTGGTTTCATAGAAGATGACTTTTCTGTGGACCGGGGCTGGGGGTTGGAGATGGTTTTGGAATGATTCAAGTGCATTGCATTCAAGCTCACCTCCTGCTGTGCGGCCCGGTTCCTAACAGGCCCGGACCGACACTGGTCTGCAGGCCTGAGGTTGGGGACCCCTGCTGTAGAGCATGCCCTGTCCTTTGACGGGCAGGAACCTTTTACTTCCTTCTAAATCTAAGGGTCCCCGTAAGACTTAGAAACCAGTGGGCAGCAGCAGCGGCAGCTCATCCTGGTCTTACCCCCGAACCTGTCTCCAAAACCCCTTTTTCTCTGACTTCCCAGTGAGCTAACAGCAGCCCCGCCTTGGCTCACTCCTTTCCTATAGCATCTCCAGGGAGCCAAAGCAGAGCAGCGCCTAGCCTGTCTCCTGTTGCTTCCATGCTAAGCCCGTCCTTGCTTCACTGTCCCCAGCTTTAATGAACATACTCTCAAAATCACCTGGACTCGTGTTCTAAGATCTTACCCACAAGAAGTCAAGAACCCACACACCACTGACTGGCTTGTGCAGACCAACCCCAGGCCCAGTCCTTATCTGGTGACATTCCTGTTTTTCTATGTAATTACTGTATATGTAGATGACTGTCCCTTGTTACAGTGAGTTGGATATTAATTCTACTCTTTTTTGATGTTAAGAGCTGAGGAACTGTTACATTGCCATTGCCTGCGGTAACAAATGACTAAAAATTTGGTGCCTGAAAACAACAGATTTATTCTGCTACAGTTCTGGAGACTGTAAGCCTGAAATCAGTATCACCAGGCTTAATCAAGGGGTCAGCAGGGCCCCTCCTGGAGGCTCTGAGACTAAGGAGAACTGCTGCCTGCCTGGTCCGATTTCTGGTGCCTGACAGCATTCCTGGTGGCTGATAACATTCCTGCTGGCTTCAGGCTATGTCACCGCAAGGCCATTATCTTCAATTCTATGCTCTGTCTTCATGCTGCTTTTTCCTATTTGTGTCAAATTTCTGTCTGCCTCCTTTTTATGAGGATACACATGATTGCATTAAGAGGCCCCCTGGATAATCCAGGACAATCTCCCCATTTTAAGATCCTTAATTTAATAACATCTGCAAAGGCCCTTTTCCAAATAAGGTAACAATCATGGATTCTAGAGATTAGGACACGGATATCTTCTGGGAAGCCCGTTTCAGTTTACCACAGAAACTGTGTTCGTTGAATCATTCGGCAAGTATTTATTGAACACCTACTGTGTGCTAGGCATTTGGTAGGCACTGAGGATCCAGCTATGAACCAAACAGAGATTCCAGCCTCCCAGAGCTGACATTCTAAAGCTGCATTGTCCAAATGGTAGCCACAAGCCCTGATATGGCCACTGCGCATTTGAAATGCGGCTACTCTGAACCGAGGTGCGCTGAAGCGTGATCTGCACAGCGGATCTTGAAGACTGAGCACATATACACGAAGAATGGTAAGTATCTCAATAATTTAAAAATATTGATTACATGATAAGTAATATTTGGGATATATTGGGTTAAATCAAATGTTATTAAAGTTAACCTCGCTTGTTCCTTTTTCATTTTTTTTAAATGTAGCTACTAGAATATTTAGAATTACATGTATAGCTTGCATTGTATTCCTCTTGGATGGAGCTATTCTAAGGGGAGGGGGAGACTATGGACAATTAACACAAGAAATAAGCATATTATATGGTGTATTAGGAAGTGATAACTTCTATGAAAAAAAGATAAAGATTAGGGTAAGGGAGTACATTGGTTTCCTGGTGCTGTTGTAACAAATTACCGCAAACTTCGTGGCTTAACCCCTCCCCCCCCACCAATTTATTATCTTGCAGTTCTGAAAGTCAGAAGTCCAAAACATACCTTAGGGATCTAAAATTAAAGCCTGAGTTTCTGCTGGAGATTCCAGGGGGAAATGCATTCTTCGTCTTTTTCAGCTTCCAGAGGGCTTCTGCCTTTCTTGGCTCCCAGCCCTCATTCCAGCCCCTGCCTGCATCATGGTATCTCTTCCTCTGACTCTGAGCCTCCTGCCTGCCCCCTTATGAGGCCCCTGTGATTACCTTGGGTCCACCGGAACTCAGGATAACCTCCCCATTTTAAGATCCTTAATTTAATTGCATCTGTGAAGTCTCTTTTACCACATGAAGTAACATAGTCACAGAATCTGGGGACCAGGAAGTGGACATTGGGGGCGGGGTGCATTATTCTGCCTTCCACGGGTTAGGTCACAGGAGAGGAGTTACCGCGTTACACAGTCGTCTCTGAGACTGTGAAATCTGCCTAAAGATCTGAAAGAAGGGAGGGCAGGAGCAGTGTGAATGTTAGGGAAGGGCATTCCAAGAAGCGGAAACAGCCAATGCAGAGGCCCAGTGGTAGGACATTCCCTTTTCCTGGGACCTCCTCCTCCTTGCTGCCCCCGAAGAGCTGGTGCCTCTGCATCTTGCTTGAAGAACAGAAAGGTTTGAGATCCCTATTCATCATTGGTCTCTCGTCACAGTCTCTATTCCCCAGGGTTCCTCAAAGGGCGGGTTAGCCCTAAGGGGCAGGCAGGCGCCTTGTGTCAGAAAGGCAACAGGATCAGCCCGCCCCTCTACCCACAGTCCAAATGGCCGGTCACCTGGGATCTGGCGAGGCCCTGTCTGTGCAGTGTCCGCCTGTGGTGCCACTGGCGCAAGGAGGCACGGGCCTCCGAGCTGAGCCCCTTCGGTGCACGTCCCGCGTCGGGCTGGTAGTTGGCGATGTGGTGCAGTGCCCCAAACCAAGTGGTCAGGTAGTACCCAGCTAGGGGCAAGAAGAAGAGGTTGGCGCAGCTCTCCTGGCTTCCCTTGTGGCAGGAAGGCCCCTTCAGTTTGCCGCCTTTCCACCTGCTGCAGGGGCAGGCTGTTTGGGGCCCCACCCTGTCGGGTCCTGACGCTCTGGGGATGGGGCCTCACCTTCTCCCAGTAGCTCTTCCGGATCCAAGAGCTCCATAAGAAACTCCACGTCCAGCTGTGTCTCCCCAATGTCCGGACTCCAGATAAGCTCCTCGGTCAACGCTGGGAGGAAGGCGTCGGCGCCCAGGGGCTCTGTGGAAGCCGAGGGCGGGCTCTGAGATAGATGGGGGCGTGCAGGCCCCTTCCATCTGATCCCCAGGACCACAAACTCTGGCTGTCTCTCACCTTGCTGGGTGTGCAAATGCCTCTTACCTGACCCCCAGGCCTGCGAAGACGCCTCCCATAGAGCATGGCGCCCTGCCCCAAGGACGTCCACACAGGAGCCTCCTACCTGGCTCCCGCAACCCTCAAGGCTGCTCCACATCCAGGTAGATGCAGACTCCTCCTTTACCTTCGTTCTTGCCTGAAGCCAGCCCCGCGTAGACATCACTGCACACCGCCAGCAGCAACGCCACCTTGCGGCGTGGGGCGCAAGCGGCGTGGAGGTGCGCAAGGCGCGAGTGGATGCGGCTGCGCAGGGCGGGGCCCTGGCCCTCAGGTCCCGCCCCCTGAGCTCCCGGAGGCCCAGCCCCAGCCCGCAGAGCTGTTTGTCGCCGCCGCAGTCGCCGCAGGTCCGGGGCGCGGAGCGTGCGGAGTCGTGCCCACAGGGCCGGCTTCAGAGGTGCCAGTACCGCCCGGCACAAGGCCGCTTCCACCGCGGGGCCTGCGAGGTGTGGAGTCGGGGAGGGAAGAGTCACTGGGCTGCCCTGCGCCCACCTGCTCGCTCCACCAACCCATCCTGGACGACTGCCACCCCTCCCCAGCTTCTGGCCACCCATAAGTGCAGACATGGGTATGAATATGTGTGGAAGAGGGACCCTGGGTGCGAACACATGTGTGAGAGAGGGAATCAGGGCTGTCACGCCTGTGTGAGACAGAGCGATGAACACAATAGGGGTTACTCTGTGTGGCAAAGGGCGTGTGAGTAGAACAGGTGTGCACAGGGATAGAGAGGAAGAACTTGCATGTGAACACATACGTAGGACCAGGTGGTGGCAAATGTGGACAGCGTGGGTTCAGGGAGCGGCCCTAAGTCCCCTCCCAGGCCTCCTCATTACCCAGATCCTCGTCCTTCTGGGGGACCCCAGGCCCCCTGCTCCCAACGAAAGCCCTGACACTGGGGTCCTTTGCTAAGTGATCCTGGAGGTCGGTAAGGAGGTGCCGCACATCCTGAAGCAGCTCCGTGGCGGGGTCCCCGGGCCTGTGGGGGCCCCCGGCGTCTGAGGTGAGGCGTGCCTTGAGACCTCGGAACTGTCTGGCCACATAGCTGCTTCTGGACCTGGCCAGAGCCTGGACATGACTAGTAAGCACATCCTCAGGTCCTTCCTCTTCATCTTTGTAGTCGTCAGTCTCCTCTTCCTCCTCCCCCAGGCTGGGCAGAGCTGGCCCAGGAGAGTGTGCTTCTGAGCTGAGTGGGCCTTCCACCCAGGAGACCCGATGAGGGGCAGAGTGCCTGGGGGCTGGATGTGAGGAGAGGGTTGGTCCTCCAAACAGCAGCAAAGAGCTCCCTCACCCCAGGGCCACGCCCAGCTGACCTGGATCACTTTTCTCGGCAGTCTCTGGAGGCGTCTCTGGGGAAGTTTGCTCCATCCCCTGCCCTCTGTGGAGCTCCAGGTAGACCTTGTTCACCACGGACAGCACCCTCCCTGAGCAGTCGAGTTGGACACTGCCAATCTGCAGAGGATCTGGTCCCCCAAGTGCCACCCTTCTGGGCCACGTAGGCAGAAAGCCGGCCTCCCCCTCCCTTACACAACTGTGCCTCACCTGCGTGTTGCTCCCCAGGTCCCAGAGCAGGAGGGGGCAAGAGCAGAGTTCTGGGCAAAACATCCCTGAGAAAAGATTAGTGGGAGCCATGGTGTGGGTAAGGTAGCTTAGGAAAGGATCCCCCTTAACCCTCGTGATGGGTGAACTGTACCTGCTGGCTGACAGGAAGGCCAGGAGATGGGGCAGGTCTGGCATGCAGAGGTTAGAGGATTCCAGACACACACCTGTGGGAGGGAGCCAGGAGGGACAAGTTAGAAAATGTGAGGGTGGCCGCCTCCTCTTCCCTGCGACTCTCTCCCCCAAGTCCTGAATCTCTCCAAGCACCTTTACCCAGGGAAATTTCTATTTCTTGGAGTCTGCACCTTTTCCTGCGTCTTTATGTTTGGATCCCAGTTATGCCCCCGAGTATTTATTCCTTAGACAAGTATTTGTCCAGCACCTTTTCATTCCCAGGTACTGGGGATCCAGTTGTGAAAAGGCAGACACAATCACTGCTTTCCTGTAGCTTACGTTTTTAGTGGGGGGAGACAGAAAATAAATGAGTAGAAAAATAAAGATAAATATATTGTATTGTGTGCAATGAACAAAGCAGAGTGATTGAAAATGGCCAGGGCTGTCCTCACTGTGGTGGTCAAGAAGGTTACAGTTGCACAGAGGGCTGTAGGGTGGAGACCAAACCAGTCATTTGGGGAGGAGCGTCAATTCAGATGGGGTGAGCAGATGCAAAGGCCCTGGGGCTGGGATTCATCTAGTGTGCTCGAGGAAGAGAGGACAGAACGGTGTGGCTGGGGCAGAGTGAATGAGGGGCAGTAGATGGACGGGTGGGCCGGCTGGCTACTGAAACACCTTATGAACCATGACAATGACTTTACATTTTTATTTAAGGATATCGTATATCCTTTGCAGAAATGTGTAGCATCTGATTGACTGAAAATACCACTCTGGCCGCTGGGCTCAGAATGGATTGCGGGAAGGAAGGGGTGGGCACAGGGGTACCAGAGAAGGGCCTGCCGAACTTGTCTGGGAACGGGCTGATGTTGGCTCGGACTGGGGTTATGGAGGCGGAAGGGATTGGGAAGATTCGAGAGATGTTTGGGAAGTAAAGTTGACAGCTCTTGATGCTAAATTTGCTGTTGACTGGAAATGTGGGGGTAGGCTGCTCACCTCCAGGAAGCTTCTGGATCTGGTAAGTGTTGACTTCCCCTGGTGAAGGTCCTGTCCTCAACACCAGGACCCGGCTGGGGTCGTGTCCTGTGACCAGGAAACTCTGGGGGTGGAGACAAAGGTCAGCATGAACAGGATTTGTGCAGATGTGTTATTTTTTGCCTGCCTAGCCTCCATTTCCCTTATTTAGGGCTGCATGAGGCAAATTTCCTTTAGAGAAGGTCCCCCTCCTTCCCAGTCCACTTGTGGGTAGGACTGACTTCCCATAAGTCCTCAGAGCGGGTCCAGGCCCTGACCTAGCCAGTAGGACGACAGTGCTGACCATTGTGATTGGTTCAGAGATGGGCATGTGACCCAAGGTCAGCCAACAGAAATCTTCCATAAGACTTTTGCTGGAGCACTTTGGGAAGAGGCCTCTTTTTACGATGGGGTTACTAACTTGGTGAGATGCAGGGCTGAGCTGGGGACAGCTATCTCTGCCACCACAGGGAGAGAGCTTCCCCAAGGAGGAAGCTACGGTAGACCCCTTAGTTATCTTATCCAGCCTATCCCCCATGCCTTGCAGCACACCAGCTTTGCTCAGGGCATTAATATGCAGAGCCATCAAAGATGAATAATAACTGAGTACTTCCTATCTCTGGCTGTATAACTCCTAGATGAGCTTTAAAAAATATTGCTATGGGACCCCATCCGTATATTCTGAATCAAATTAAAGGATATTGCCTTTGCTGATTAAAAAAAAAAATGGGTGCACCCTGGCTGGTGTGGCTCACTGGATTGAGTGCCGGCCTGCAAAATGAAAGGTCACTGGTTCGATTCCTGTCAGGGCACATGCCTGGGTTGTGGGCCACAGGCCCAGTTGGGGGAGTGCAAGAGGCAACAGATGGGTGTTTCTCTTGCACATCAATGTTTCTTTCCCACTCTTTTTCCCTCTCTCCAAAAAATAAATAAATAAATTTTAAAAATCTTTTAAATAGATGCAACTGGAGCTTCCCTTTTTCCTCTTTTTCTGCCTAGAACACACGTGTGTGCTTGGACCTGGGGCAGCAGCCACTGGGCAACCAGGACAGAGTTCAAGAGAACTGCAGAGTCTCTGCCCTTGATGCTACCCAAGCTGCTGAACCAGAGTCAGCAGCTGCTTTCCCGGTTATGGTGGAAAGATAAATGCCTATTTGTTTAAACAACTGTAGAATGAGTGCTTGTTACTTACAGCCCCAAACATTCAGAATTCCCCAGTTTCAAGATAGGCCAAGATTCCCTGCTCTGACCCCGCCTCCACATACAGCGTCACAACCCAGCGACCTGGGAGTCCAGGGCTCCGCTCCTCACACTTAAAGGGCCCGAACAGACCAAGAATGGCTCAAGAAGATCTCAAAGCCCCAGAGCCTATAAATCTAAGTGATGAAGAAATAGCAAAACTCTCAGACGCACAGTTTAAAACACTGGTGATCAGGATCCTCACAGAACTGGTTGATTATAGCCACAAATTAGAGAAACATATGAAGGCGAAACTAATTGAAATGAATGGAATTGTACAGGAAACCAAGAGCAATGAAAAGGAAACTGGGACTCAAATCAATGGAGTGGACCAGAAGAAAGCAAGTAATGGCCAAACAGAAAAGAGTGAAGAAGCAAGAATTCAAAAAAATGAGGAGAGTCTTAGGAACCTTCAGGACATCTTTAAATGCTCCAACATCCGAATTATAGGGGTACCAGAAGGGGGAAACGAACAGCCACCAGTGGAAAACTTATTTGAACAAATAATAAAGGAGAATTTCCCCAATCTGGCAAAGGAAATAGACTTCCAGGAAATCCAGGAAGCTCAGAGAGTCCCAAAGAAGTTGGACCCAAGAAGGAACACACCAAGGCACATCATCATTACATTAGCCAAGATTAAAATTAAGGAGAGAATCCTAGAAGCAGCAAGAGCTAAGAGGACAGTCACCTACAAAGGAGTTCCCATCAGACTGTCAGCGGATTTCTCAAAAGAGACCTTACAGGCAAGAAGGGGCTGGAAAGAGGTATTCCAAGTCATGAAATCCAAAGACCTACAACCAAGATTGCTCTATCCAGCAAAATTTCCATTTAGAATGGAAGGACAGATAAAGTGGTTCTCAGATAAGATCAAATTCAAGGAGTTCATCATCACCAAGCCCTTATTATATGAAATGTTAAAGGGACTTATCTAAGAAAAAGAAGTTAAAGAAACATGAACAGCGAAAGGACAGCAAACTCACAGTTATTAACAACCACACCTAAAACAAAAGCAAACTAAAAGGACAGCTAGATCAGGAGTGGAAACAGAAATGAAGATCTCAAGGAGGGTTAGCAACAGGGGAGTGGGAGGAGGAGAAGGGGGGAGAAGGTACAGAAAATAAGTAGCATAGACAGTAGATAGAAAATAGATGGGGGGGCAAGAATAGTATGGGAGATATAGAATCTAAAGAAGTTGAGACACATGGTCATAAACTAAAGGGGGCGTAATGGTGGGGACGGGGGGTAGAGTGGAGGGGAATGAAGGGGGGGAATAGAACAACTGTAATGGCATAATCAATAAAAAATAAATTAATTTAAAAAAAAAGATAGGCCAAGAAATAGGATGAAGAAAAATTTGTAAGTCGTCTGATTTGAAGGATCCAGGCATTCCTGAAATCATTTCTGGGTTATTCGGTCATTTGAATCAATAAGTGGCTTTTTAGGTTTGGCCTGTTTGTGTTGTGTATGTCGCTACCAACTTGCAGAGTTCTGACTGATCCAGGGTGTCATAGGAGTGTCAGAAAGGGTCCCCGGCTGTGAGTACTCACCCCTGGTGGCCACAGCTCCAGAAGGGCTTCTGCGCCCTGGGTGTCCAGCTCTGGGATCTGCCACACCCCCGACGTCCTCTGCAGGCGAAGAACTGGTTCTGGGGCCCCGAGGATGCCTAAGCAGGCCTCTCCTGCTCCGTTCTCCAGGCTGGGATGTGGAGGGTCCAGGAGACCAGGGGTCAGGAAGGGGCAGTTGGATACTGAGGTGGGGCCAGAGGTCAGGAAGGGGTAGCCCAGGGGTAGAGAGTGAGACATGGGGTTCTGGGTCCCGTGGGGGGCAACACTGGATGGAAGGGATTTCTGAATCCAGGGGCAGGAGATGGAGACCCCAGCCCAGGAGCCCTTACCTGTCCCCATAGGTGGGGCCTGCCGAGGCCTGGTCCTCTGGCTGGGCCATCCTCACGATTTGGGAGGCCAGCGGGTCATGGCCTGGCCTCTGGCAGGGCGTGGGGGGGGGGGCGGAAGATAAGGCTCAAGGCTGCTCCAGTTCAGGGGTAAAGTTCAAAACATTTACAACCAATATGGCAAAGACCCTGACCAATCAGAATGGACCCCAGGCTCCTTGCTGTGCCAGGAGTGAATTCTTTCATCACTGGATGGTGGGGTGCTCTGGGATCCCAGGAGGGAGGTCAGTGTGTCTTGGGGTGAGGGGAGAGGGAGAGGACTCAAAATGACAAGCATTTACCAAGTGGTAGGGCAGTATTTCAGGGTTTAACATTCAGCGCGGCCGTGTGAATGTGGACGAGCTGAGTAACAAACCCACCCATAACCCAGTGCCTGGAAAAGGGCTCCGCCCACAGGAGGTTCCATAAATGAGACAAATGTTACACCACATCCCCTCCTCCTCCCTTCCCTGATGACGAAGGGGCCCTCAAATATTTTCCCCCAACAATTTTTTTAATGAAAGTTTCAAACATTGAGCAAAATGGAAAGAATTTTACAGGGAACATCCACACACTCACTACATAGATTCTACCGTTATTTTTCTCTGCTTTCTCACACAGCCGTCTGTCTAGCCGTGTGTCCGTCAGACCTCAGCTCTTAGCCGGGTATGGAGACCTAGCGTGGGCCACCGGCTGAGGCGGGCATTAGTTCCCCTGCAGCCCTCCCGGGAGTAGGGAGCTTAGGTCCATGCATCCATGCATTCCCACAACTATTTATTGAGTACAGGCCCAGAATTAGGTGCTCTGGACACAGAACAGGCCCTGCTCTCAGGGGCATCCATTCTTCTTGGGGTGGATAGAAAATATGGATAATAAACAGCTAAGCAAACCAACCAGCCTGCTGATCAGAGCCCAGAGTGTTAGGAAGAGAGGACCAAGGCAGGAACCCTGTCCAGCGAGGAGCAGGTGGCAGGGGTGGGGCGGGGGAGGCAGATGCTCACCTGGGTCCCATGAGGGGCAGGAGGAGGTGGGTGGTGCTGGGCAGGGCAGGATGGGGAGCTGCCTAATACCAAAGGAGGCAGAGTCTCAGGTAACGAGGCCAGCTGCTGGGTCCCTGGGGGCCCTACCTGTTCACGGAGGCTGGAGGAGGAGGAAGTGAAAGTGCTCCTCTCAGAGAGGAAGCTGAGTTCCAGGGGAAGAGGCGGGGCTGGGGTATCTGAAATCGACCTTCCTCCCTATTTCTGGCGGCTCAGGCCTCAGGTGGCAGGACTTTGGAGGAAGGGGCCCTGGCAGACTCAAAGTCCAGGGCTAAGAGCCCTGAGGCCCCCGCCCGCCCTGCAGTCCCCTGGCGGCACCCCTCACTCTGTTTCTGACGTGAGCATCTAGATGTCCTGGTTTCCTCAGTGGCCCGAGATCTCCCCCCCTCCCTCCAGCTGCTTCCTGGTGTGCCGGCAGAAAGGAACAGCGAGGCCAGACGGCTGATTGTTAGTTCTTGTTTTTAATCTGTCTCCAATAAGCAACATCATCTTTCCATCCACACATGGAGGTGAGTCCTGAGTGCAGGTGGCCAAGCACCCACTTTGGGAGTTGGAGGCCGAGAAGTGGGAGGTCCAACCCCCACCACTGGATGAACTATGTTCGGAGCCCCCCCTTTCCCAGGGTAGGTTAGATTTTGTCTACTTGGCCACAGGCCTCTGGGAGCAGTAGTATGGGGTCCTGGGGACCTGTCCTGGGATGGTTAGAAATTTGGAGGCCCTCCAGCCCCCTGGGAGCAGTTAGAGATTAGGGGAGTTCGATCCTCGGCCCTTGGGAGAGGTTAGAGGCTCTGGGCTGTTAGACAGAGCTGCCCAGGCCTCAGCCCCCAGGAGATGTTAGAGATCTGGCAGGGGTGGGGGTGGGGGCTGGACACCAGTTTGGGGAGAGAGTGGTTATGAGATCGAGGGAATGCTCTGAGCTCCCCAGACAAGAGCTTCAAGTTAGGGAGGTCCGCGGCTGGTTGGGGCTCGGCGGTCCCAAAGGAGCTGGGTGCCCTGCCTGGGAGACAGCTGTCACTGGGGTTTCTCCCCGTCCGTGGTCCTGGCCTCTTCCTTGGCAGGAGGTGGGGACTTGCTGGAGGAAGCTGACGTGGTGGGGTTGGGGCGCCCCGACTCTGACTGAGCATCTATGCTGGCGTGCTCCTTCCGGACAAGGTCCTCCAGCTCCTTCTGCGGGGGACAGGATTTCCAGCGGTCAGAGGTCACCATGCCTCATGAAGTCAGAGGACCCGTGAGACAGGGGCCCAGGGACTGGGTTTGGGGTGGCCCGGGGTGGCCGGAGCTCCTCACCTTCCATCCGAGAAGGTCAGCAAGAGCCAGGCAGCCCTGGTCACAGTCACCCAGCCAGGCCACATCCCTGCGGGTGAGTGAGAGTCAGCTCTCCCAGGCTCGGCCCAGGCCCCTGCCAGCTCCGCCCTGTCCCTGTGGCTTCATGCCCTTCCTCCCACCTTGGACCTGTCCCTTGCAGGCTCTGCCCCTCACAGCAGACCCAAGCCTCACCTGTAGGCCTTCTTGGAGTCAAAGTCCATGCCTCCTCCGAGGCCCATCATCATTCCCAGGAAGGGGTCAGTCTGCAGGAAAGGGGAGTGTGGGGGGGCTAAGAGCACAGACCCTCGAGCCAGGCGGCCTGGGTTTGTATCCCAGCTCTGTGACTCTGCTCAAGTGACCTGGCCTCTCCAAATCTCAGTTTCCCTACCTGTGGAGAGGGACGATCATCGAATCACTCCTGGGGTTGTACTGTCAGTAAATTAACGCAAGAAAAATGCTTACAAGAGTGTCTGGCGTGAGGTATGTTTTTGCCTGTTTGGGGAAACATCATTCCCCAGGGCCCAAGGCGCCGGCTCCAGCTCACCCCGACCCTTCAGTCCCAGGAACTGCAACATCCCTGTTTTGGCTTCAGTCGCTTTGGAGTTGGGGTTTGGTCACTTACTCGGAAGGCTCCTGAAGGCCCAGGGAACTACTGATCCCTTCGGACTCTGGAACCCCTCGTCCTGAGCCCCAGGGGCCTGAACTGCTGGGATCCCTACAGACTCATCCAGATGCAGCAAGGAAAGAATGTGGGGGAGGGGCAGTGGTGGTGCATGAATAAAAGCTGACTCACCTGGCCAGTTTTTTCCTTGTTGATGAGCAGGCGAGGGGTAGACAGGGGTGCCCTGGGGGGATGTCGAACTGAGTGGTAAGGACCTGCTCTGGCTCCCGTCCCCTCCCTGCCCCCCCACTGCCCCGTGCCCCAGCATCCCCCCAGCCCTGACCCGCAACCTACTTGCCAATGAGGGATGCAAAGGGCTGCACCTGCAGGGAGGTGCCCATGATGATGAGCAGGTCCACCTTCAGGAAGTCCTGTGGAGGGGCAGTGCCATGAGAGCTCTGCGACGGGGTGGTCTGGGTGGCCGTCCCCACCCCCACCTCACCACAAGCTCGTGACCCTGCCCGGGGCAGGGCCCGGCTGTCCCTGCGTGGGCCAAGCACAGGGCGGTGGCGGAGATACTTACCGACTGAATGCAGGAGAAGAAACGGGCTGGGAGGTTCTCACCGAAGAACACGATGTCTGAGGTGGAGACGGACGGACAAACAACACCGGACAGAAAGAGTCAGTGAGTGGGGGAGGCGGAGAAAGGGAAGGAGGTGCGAACAGGCAGGAGCAGGAGGCAGACCGCAGCGCTGTGCGGGAGTGCAGAGCAGCGGGGACAGGCCAGAGAACGGAAACCTCTCCCCGGAGAGAGGGGGACCAGAGGGCAGGTGGAGGGTGAGTGTGGTCTTCGTGGGAAGGATTAGCGCAGGGAGGGGGGTTCCCAGTCCAAATCCCCCTTGGTCGTTCCAGCCCCAAGGCTCACCGGGCTTCACCACGCTCTGGCACTTCTCACACTTGGGAGTCACCTCGGAGAAGATCTTCTCTGGGCGTGGAGAAGGGGACGGGGAGAAGGTGGTGAGAGGCTCCGGGCCGGGGGCTGCAGCCTGCCTGCCGCCTCCCCCTGCCCCTTCCTTCGCTCTCCACACAAACACACCTTAGTCACGGGGAACCTCCTGGGGCATCTGACCTGCTCAGAAAGGGCCTCCTCTCAGAAAACTACCCCTTCCCTCCCCCATGCCTCAGGAGTCCAGGGGTGGCTCCCAGCACCAGGCTGCTGAATGGAAGAATAAACGAATGAGCAGACACTTGCTCCTAATAGAGGCCACTGGACGCCCGACCCCCCACTGGGGAATGGGGAACGGAGCTTGCCCGCGGGTCTCTGAGGGCAGCCCCCCTTCCTCCTGGGTCAGAGAGGCCTGGTGGGCGCAGGCCGTGGCAAAACAAGAGGAAAGAGTATGCAGATGGTCCTGGGGTGGGGAGAAGTCTGTAGGTGCAGCTGCTTCCCACCCTGGGTCGGTGACTGACCCCCCACCACACACACACCACACGCACACTTTCCTCGAGACAATCATGCTCATTATTGCTTATTGATTAAAGAAACTTGAAAAGTGTTCTGTCACCTGCAACCCACAGAATCCTGGCTTGCTCATTCAACTATTTATTCGTTTCTTCAACAAATACTTAGAGCACTGTTCCAATGTCTGCCATTTGCTGTAAGACACTTCTGCACGGACATTATGCCACTTTGTGGGGGCGGCACGTGGCCACAATGGGTAGTGCTAATTGTACAGGACCCCCAGCTGTGCGTGGCTCCCTATTCAGGCCTCCCCACCCCAGGGCTGGTCAGCTGGTGTTTTCTCAAAAAGGCCACACTCCAGAGGCCCTGCTATAAGGGCTGTCCTTATCTCGCAGGGACACCAGAGGCTTTGTGAAGTCAGCATAAAGAATGCCAGAAATGGGTTTCCAGGGTGAAATAAGTGACTTCTTAGTCAGCACAATGGATGTCACAAACAGTCTCTTGCTGGCATCCAAGAAATAAGGATTGGCTGGCATTCCCCCTTCTGAACCCTCTGTCCTTACGTGAACAGACACCACGACTTCAGCAAGCCCTGCAGTCTGCCCCGGCGGGGCAGCCCCAGCCCCCGGCCCTGTGTCTGGGGGCCTGTGTCTGGCTTCACACTCCATCCCATTCAGGCGACTCTGCTCCCCTGAAACTCTGGGCTGGGTCCTGTGCTGCTCGTGCAAGTGCTGTCCCATACAGTCATCATAGCAGATAATGGCTTTTTACATTTAAGTTAATAAGATCTAAAATTCAGTTCCTCGGTCCCACTAGCCATGTTTTGCTGTCACAAGTATCAAGTGGCTGACACACTGGACAATGTAGATATGGAAGGTCTCCCACATTTCGGAAAGTTCTGTTGTACAGTTCTGCTCTTCTTAGAGCTCAGCCCCGCCCTGGCTGGTGTGGCTCAGTGGCTTGAGTGTTGGCCTGTGAACCAAAGGGTTGCAGGTTGGATTCCCAGCCGGCACATGCCTGGGTTGCGGGCCAGGTCCCCTGTAGGGGGTATGTGAGAGGCAACTGATCTCACACAGCAATGTTTCTCTTCCTCTCCTTCCCTTCCCCTCTCTCTAAAAAGAAATAAATACAATTTTAAAGAATTTAAAAAAAGAACTTAGTTCCACTTTTCTTGATGAGCACCTCATGTACAATAGGGTGGGAGCCCCTCAAAGGACGACAGCGAAGGTTTTATGACCTCACAGAACAGGCCGTGGGACCACTCGGGACCCTCTCTGCTAACTCACGTCTCCGTGTGTGACGGAACTGGGTCTGGAGCTCGCACCCACCCTACGGTGGCTGTGAGGTGGTGCTGGAGGCGATGTCACGGTCACCTCACACCTTCGGAGGCTGCCATTACCAGACACAGAGCTGTGCAGGGCAGAACAAGGGCCCACGGGGTAGAGGTCCTGCCCCTGGTGCCGAGCGGTGGACAGTGGGCGGGAGGCCTGCCCTGGCAGGTGACCTCCAGCCCCTCACCTTTCATCCAGCTGAGCGGATACTCCTGCCGGCAGAGGGGGCTGACGCAGTGCGACGTGTGGAAGGTGCCGTGGGCCTCCACCAGGTCCTCGGGCTCCAGGCCGGCCACGCGCTCCAGGGTGTCTATGTTCTGGAAGGAGAGACGGAGGGAGGAGGGTCAGGAGTGAACCACTCTCCTCAGGGGCAGAAGGCGGGGCAGGGGGTTGTAACCAAGAAAAACCAGTGGGACGGGGAGAAGGAAAGAGAAGACAGGCAAGGGGCAAAGTGTGTCTGAAAATTCCTGTTTATTCTGATGGTGCCACTAAAAGGTAAAAGGGATGCTTCCAGGCAGGGCCCCAAACTCAAATGTATGTGGGCCAGGCTCATGGCCACCACCCAGCCCACA